GTTCTATAATGGTCCCCAAGCTGGACCAAGAGAGGATTTTCTTAGCAACGGAGGCTCCTTAGGTAGGGACTGAACTTCACTGGTTCCCAAACAATTAGGAGATGCACACATTGTGTGTGCGTGGCTACCAACAAAACGAACACTCCTGACCAGCATGGCTCTTTTCAACTGACGAGAGGGTTCTTCGGCTCAAGATGGATAGGAACAGGATCCCTAAATACACAATTGCTCTGAAGTTGCATAGACTAAATCTTACAGAGTATTTTCGTTTCTCCACATTAGGAAATCGACAGGATTTGATCCAGCCTGAGTCAGATGGGTTGAAGAACACACTTGACAGAGCAGACACGCTGTTTACTCAAGGTGTTTTCACATTTCCTTCTTTGTGTTCTCAATTTAATTCGTAAACTTGCTCCATACTCAATTTTTCTTGGACTTTTGAAGCTCTTACTTCGTAGAGGTAGGAAAAATGCTTTGTTCTTTTGTAAAGAGCTAAGCATTTACATGTACGTATATGTGCAGTACTAAAAGAGATTGTGCATTGTAAATTGAAAGTCCAGGGTGATGACTGTTTTGAGAAGACTAATATACATTAATTGTTTATGTGGTAAAAGAAAACTTCTGTTTAAAATCACATTTTCAGTGAAGTAAATTCAACTAACCATTGCCAACGTATCCCAAACGAATGTCTATTTTTGAAATGCCATATGCAATAATTCAAAAGTGTGAGCCGTGCTAATAATTTTGTTGGGTTATTGATTTTGAAGTCTTGAATTCTTCTAGGATCAGGTTTCAATCAGTGATGTAATGTGGCAGGATAGGATTATTTTAAATCAACTTACAGGTACATAAAATCTCTTTTTCAGTAACAAAAAGCAAATGTTCCAGGGAGGCAGCGTTAGATGCTCAACTCATGGTGCTCGTGTCATCACTTGGTCATGAACAAGCCCAGAAACTGCACTCAGATTTCCACACATTTGACCCATCAGAGTTTGCTGAAAAGCTGGTAAGATTTACGACTCTCCATGTATACATGTGTGTGTATGACAGCACACTGTACATGAAATGGTACACGCGTTGGGAGTGATTGGTTGATCTTTGTGTAATCAGTAGATTTTACTCCATGATTTGTCGATCATTTTGCATTCAGCCAATTGCCATTTCTTTCTTATGGACAGTTGTGAAAATTATTTGAAAAATGTTGGAGATTTCTCGCAGAATCAACCAATTACACAGAGCGATGAGGCAATGGTGCAGAACACACAAACTGTTGAAGTGCAAGTATCGTCAGCAGAGACCCTGCATGAATAAACCAATCCAGTCAGCCCCGCCCACTGTACATGTCAATAAACACATGCTTTTCTCCTGTGCCATGCTTGTCAGACATAAGTCATAGCAGTGATTGGTTAAAAGGCTACGGAGTGGGGCTTAATGGATCGGTGTATTGCTTGCTTATGGAATGAAATATAAGCCTGAGGAAGCAAGTGGCCAATGCCTGCATTCATTTCGATAGATATGGCCCATGGCCGAATAATTCAGACTCAAACCAGAGGATATAGCGCCCTCTCTTGTTCAGGGATAGAACCCATAGATCCCCTGTTCTCTCTTACCTTTTATTCCTCTGTAACTGCCTTTTAAGAGGCCATGCCTAATGGGGTCATTTAATCAATCAGATATTTGTTTTGTGTTTAGATTACTTTTATGGGTGACAGACGAATACGTAATGAGGAAGGTGAAAGGAGGAATGTGCCATTTCCAAAGGAGGGATGGAGTAAATTAGGACGGGCAGCTAAATCGTGTTTCAGACGAGCCCCAGCATTCCATTTTATGTAAGTTACAATAAACCATCATTTGGTCAGTGATGGCGTCACTACACTGCACAGTATTGTCTTGTCATAAATTTAATATCTTCTTTGATTCATGTGAAACTTTGTCGCAGAGTCTCTAAATTTCAGTGTATGGAATTGTGAGGAAATTAATTGCTCTTTATTCAGAAGCAAATAGGGGTTATATTTTGTTTTTGTGGTGCCAGGCTTGGATCTTTTGAAAGAGGCGAGGCCCCAGTCAAGACAAGAAAACAAAGTGCTGCTCGACAGAAGGAGAAAGACAGTGGTCCCGCAGTTGTTCCTAAACAGGTTAAAACTTTAATATGATCTGAAGTTATGTTGATTACTGACAGAGCTGATTTGCTTCATATTTGAACTTGTCAAAATTTATGAAGAGCTTGGCAGTGGTTGATACTTCATCTGAAAGCAAAAAGTATTTCCAATGTATATCAGTCTCTTCTCAAAGATAACGGCTGAGCATCCTGCCAACCAGGCAAAGCACCTCCCTCCTATCCCTTTTATCAGAAAATGGGTTTTCTACAGAACGGGTATAACTTTATAAGTCTTTGTTCAAAATCTGACATTTGTGACCAGATCCAACAGAATGAGTCTTCAGGTCATGTTTAAGCATTTCGTTTTAGTTTGCAGTGGAAAGACCAACCTGGGCTCTCTGTATATACCAGTTTGGTGATCTGATGAAAAGTGACATCTGGATAAACATTTTGAGGGTTCTAAGATTTTCAATGTTGAGGATTTTTGTCCTCGAAAGTGACTCTGACAGCATGTGACTCATTTTATTGTGGGTCCCATTTTTGGCTTTCTCTGGCTTATGTTCCAAATGATTCACTGATGTTTTCTTTCTTCATCAGGTTCAGTCCATGGGTAAAAGTCATCAGGAGGTCACTACGGAGGAAGTAGAGAGAATGCTGGGAATTCTTCATCAAGTCACTAACTTTGACCAGGAAGATCAGTCCGAAGGTAATTTTTTCCCCTCTTTTTGATCATGCAAATCATGGTCAGAAAAATTGCACTGTGGAGGCTTGTTTCAAGCAGATTCAAGTGAACAGTGACAGAAATCTTATGATTCAAAAAGTAAATTATTCATTAAAAAATGTGAAAAGAATAAAAATTTCAACTGGGCAAAAGGAATTGTTTGTCTCTTAAATCTTGCTAAATCATGGCTGGAGATACTCCTAGATGTGAGAAGCTATTATAGTAATTATAATGTACAATTGTGCATTATTGCTACTAATTTTGTATCTGGTTTTAATCATCAACAGTCTGGCAGTCAGTAAGCCCGAATATTTGGATATTTGATCGAATTTAAGGTCGAATATTCGAATAGTGTATTATTCGAATTGACTTCGCCCTACTTGTCAGTTTTTGCATTGGTTTTGTTTTATATCCGTTTTTATTTTTTCTTAACTCAGTTGAACCGGTGTCCTTATTTGAGTTCGTGATCAACCCTCACTCCTTCAGTGAAACAGTAGAGAACATATTCCATCTTTCCTTCTTGGTAAAGGTAAGACGAATCCCGAAATTAAAAATAGTAATCAAAATGTGACCCAGATTTTTGCCACTAAAATATTGAAAGTCACAGGTACAGCACAGCTGTTGTATTATTTGAAAAATTAATCTCTATACATATCAATGCAGTGCAATGTACAGGTTGTTTTTTCAGGTGTCTCGGAGAAGAAAATAAAAAAATATTCTGTACAATTTTCTGATGAATTTATGAAATATTCTGAAAAAGTCACTTTATTCCTCCTGTTAAGTTCATTACACTGGTACAGGTCTGTGAAAAGTATCTAGTGTGATTGTGACTTCACCTTTATGTTTATTAATAGTAAGTGTGCTTCATGGCAACGTGTTTCTTCTTAATGGTATTTTTGGTTTAGGATGGCCATGCAGAGGTTAGATTAGATGATGACAGGTTACCAATCATTATTCCCACAACACCTTACGTTGAGGGGCAGACAAATGAACAAGTGGATCGAAAACAAGTCATGATCTCACTGGATATGCAACAATGGAAGGTATGTATCGGGAAAGATTACAGAATAATTTAGGGGGTCACACATTGATTTCGGTTTTTGGTATGGATGCATTGTAACCATGCCAGGAACAGAAACCAGATTAGTATGTAGTTAAACTGTACTGACGGACAGAACAGGCAGGGTTTGCATTAAATTGAGGGAATTTCACCCTTTAACCCCAACCCTGCCAGATGCAGCACAGTGCACCAGGTAAAGTCTTTGATGTACTTGGCAAGCAACAGCAGCCAAACAAACTGGCCATGTTGAGACTATGAGAGGAAGTTCCATTGAACAATGCCCTCTGTTGAATCTTTTGGTGACTGGCAAGGGGCAAGTTCAATCAAAGACCCTAAGTAACCAAAGTTCAGCTAATCTCATCAAACTCACGCTACTTGACAATGGTTGGACTAGTCAACTATTTGTGACTAGCCTATCAAGGTTGGTCGCATTCTTGGTTACCATAAACAGTTTTTAATAACACAGTGCAGAGAGGACCAGTTATAAGAAAAATGCTAGAAAAACAGTATGTCACAAGTAAACGACCATTTTCACTTCTAGTTTTGCTATTTTGCCCTTCCTGCGGCCACCTTTTCTCCCCTGTGTGACAACAGTTGACTGGGGTCGCTTGCACTTCAACTTCACTGCACATGCGCTAGGTACGTCACAAACCAACCACTAGTTAACTAGCGGTCTTTGATCTAACTTGCCCAAGGCTGTTTGGCTTTAATAAGAGTTGAGCTGTTGGATCTTGTGACACTGGGCAGGCAAGCCACTTTGACAAATGATGCCATATGATGCGTTTGGAAGGGTTTCTGGCCAAAGTAGGTGGGAGGGTTAAGGTCAAGGTATTGTTTGAAATTTAGCTAATTTTTTGTAAAAGCTCAAAATTTCAATGATTTTTGATCCAGCTTTACCTGGTTTCGCTGTACCACTGTGTTATTAATGCTGTTTTACTAATGATTACAGGAAATTGTCAATGTATTTGAGATAAAGGAACCCCTGATCCCTAGACGATCTGGCCCCAGCACTGACATAAATGGCATCGATCGAGATCTTGAGGAAGTAGAGATCAACAGTGAAGAACCGCTGCGCAAAAAAAAGGTATGTTTTCCCAAAAAGAGTCAACAACTTTTGTTCATTGAATTATTTGATTATTCTAGTGTAAAAAAAAATTCAAACGAATATAAGCTTTCTATGCTATACCATTTTGCAACGGAAAGAGCAGTGCTTATTTAATTTTTGATAACAGGTTTAGCCTTTACCTGACTTGTGTATTTATATACACTGTATACTCGGTGCTTGCGAAAAACTTCACAAGCTTACTTAGGAGGGTCTCAGTGGTTGAATGTTTAAGACGTCTGCACTAGTAAGCAGGAGGTCGTGGGTTCAAGTCCCTTCTGAGTAAGCTTGTGAATTTTTTTTCACAAGTACTGAGTATAAAGTATTTATTAATATGTGTCAGATAAAGGTAAAACCTGTAATTAAAAATTAAGATCTCCCTGATGCAAAGTACATCTGGAAAGCAGTGTTTATTTACTGTCACTGGTTGATTAAAACATAGAGTGTCATATCCAGTATGGTACTAAATGACAGCAGGTCCCTGATTTAGGAAATTATTACTCGGCGTACAGTGACTGCACAGTCGAAACCAAAGATGAGTTTTCATTTGGTCCAGACACAGATGCTTAAAATTGTTTTCAGGCCAGAGATGAAGCTTACAATAGAGAAAGAACCAGTTGTGGTTAGCAAACTTGTTAACCCCAGGGGTATGAGAATTCAGCTTTTTAGCTGATGTCACTTTTTGTTAAGATGTTGACCCTGATTTTCAGCTTTTTTGTGCACCTGTTCTGTACAAAAAGTAAGAGAACTTTTTACATTTCAGCTTTTTGTTAGCTCTTTTCAGCGTCAATTTTGAGTGGCCACTCACACCCCTGTAACCCTTACCGTCAATAAACTTTAACCAAAGACATGAGGTCACTTTGGTGCAGTGCGTTTTTTGTATGTACATTTCGCAGGCTCATGGCTCAAGTCGACCATCCAAGACCAAGTAGCAGATGAGAGAGAAGAAAGCTCTTACTTTTGCAGTCAACTTGCCATGTCCAGGCCAGTCTATGAATCCATTTGGTTTTCAAAAGAGTAGGCCAACCTATTCCAAGTGTTGTTTATCTACAAGTAGTACTGGTTTACTCCAGCGAGTGGTCCTCCATGCCATGTTAGAAAGATGCAGAAATAATCTTGAAATCTAAGGGCACCTTGTTAAGATTTTCACCAGTTACAAATATCCTGGCCAATGCCAAGAACAGACATGCTCTCTTTGAGACATGGCTGTACCTGTATGAAACTGCTGGAGTTGGACATAACCAGGGCCCAATTTCACAGTGCAGCTTACCGCAAGCGAAAGTCGGCGCTTACCATAGTAGAGAATTCTGTGCTTACAGCGAATGTATTTCATGGGTTAGAGAGTAATTTGGGCTTGTTCGCATGCGTACATCTCTTAACTAAGGATCCTGTGCTTAAAAGGTCAGCGCAGAATGGAGATCGTAAGCATGGAATTCCGCGGTAAGCAGCGCCATGAAATTGGGCCTTAGTGAACCTTCAGCTACAACAAAGCAGTCGCTGAAATTCAGAGCAAGGCTTGTCAGTTTTATATTCAGAATTAAATCATCTAAAATCATATTTTCAGACATCAAGTTTTCATAGAAGTGTGTTGGTGCTGCTGGTTGTATAGCCTGACAATTTCTAAACCAGAATCTTGATCAGGCATTACTCTTAAAAAAAAAGATTAGGTTCACCTGGTGCTAATATCCAGTGTAATGGTTTCACTCATGTTTATAGTCTGAAAGGTTACTCTTAAGTAATAAGTGTTGGACTCAAAATCTCAACTTACTTTTCAAAATAATCTTTGTTACTTTTCATAATCCTGTTTTGTATTTAGGTATATTTTAAAGTCTTTTTGCATAAAGTTAAAAAACGTTATGTATTTCAAGTACCAATTTATGTCTTTAATATAAGAGTTTATATTCATAAACAGATTCCAAGTTGAAGTCAGAGTTAAGAAGTGCTGGAAACAAAGTGCCTTTGGATTTTGATATGTCTTTTATTCACAATTGTTGCAAGGGTAAAAGGCCATCTCACCTGTGTAAACTTTATGAAATATCACTAGCAATTTTAAATGTGCGCATGGTGTATTATTTTCAGTACTTTGTAGAAAACAAACTAATTTAGTGCATTCAGTTCACAGTTTCTGCAAAAAATAAAACAACCAACTGTAAAAGCATCTTACAATAGATACTCTCTGTGATAAAATCTTCCATTTGAAACATTCCAGGATCATATAGAGAGGATTTTCATCTGTCTGTTCTTTCCAAGGCAACATTACTTGTACACTCCCAGCAAAAGGTTTTAAACTAATACCTCTCGATGCTACCTCATACCCAGTGCTTTAGAGGGAACGATACAGATTTACTGACCAGCAATAAAGATTTATGAAATAAATGGGGGTCAAGCAAAATCTGCGGAATCGTGTTTGCCTTTCCTCAGGACAGGTGGCTAGATTAAACACTGGCCTTAAATTTGCTTTACTGCATAATATAAGCTTTTCAATGTACCAGTTCTTTTTCAAAATTCCTTTTTGCAAACCAAGTTTTGAACATCTGCAATTGAAACTGTTTGAAAAAATGCTGCACTATTCTGTAGTTGTTCAAAGTCTTACAAAACATGCAAGACTTTTTCCCCCCTAGGGAATGCTGTCTCTGGACTGACTGTACTTCTTTCCCTGGCCCCTTATCGATATTAGAACCATGCCTGCATATCAGTCATATCAGTGAAGTAGAAAAAAATGTGTCAAAATGAAAGAATCAACAGGCACTTTATTTTAAGTCACTTTCCTACTTGTATTAAATATTTATAAAGTCAATTCTTTATCAATATAATTAAGAAAGTCACTTGTACAGTTGATATTCAGTCATGCGATTATTGCTATACTTGGTTATTTTGTATAGAACAAAAAACATGTTGAATAGAGCTTTGTTCGCGATTTTTCCTGTTCTATTTAAATGACAAAAGAAATGTTAAAAATTGGATTACAGGAATCTCTTTGAGTCTATTTTGTTCTTTGCCGTACAATATATTTATTGAAAACATTAGATTTGACTACCATTAATAAGACTTGTTTGAAGGAAAAACCCTTTGTGACATGGGAAGGAATTGGCTGCTAACCTGTCTCACCACCAAGAAAGTTTATTTGCAATAAGATTTTAATCTAGTTTTGGAGTAGCTTTATGGAATGCTAAATCTTTTTTTTTTTTGCTTTTTAACAGATGTTTTCATCCAACTGGAGTTTTAGTTCAGAAAAGAAATGTCAATACATGTATAACACACCAGGCTCTATTTTATCATTTCTGACAATTTTATTGGAGAAAAGGAACTGTTGGACTGGAGTAAGGGGATCAGGTCAGGGGTAGGGAGAAAGGGAAAAAAATCTTTGCTTTTCAAAATATCCTAGGCTGTTTATTATCAATTTGGTTGCAAGTCACGTGATGAATTCATTTTTTTTCTTTAATTTTCTAAAAGGCCAACATGTCCAGAAAGGTGAAACGGTTTTCCACTTAAATGCTCACAACCAACAAGCTATGATTCTCCTGTTGTGGAATGCCGGTGCTGTGAACAAAAAGTGCAAAAGCGGCAGCTAAAAACCATGCAAATAAACAATACAGAACGGTGAAAATAAACTGTGAAAACTTACAATGCATGCAGGTGAAACGACACAAAGGAGAAGCACAGTGTGGAAGCGAGCATCAGGATAAAAACTATGGATGCCCAATTCAATTATGGCATTCAAATTTTGGGGACATTTTACACCAGGCTGAATTAAAATATGAAAACATCACGTTCATTGCAGTCCCTTCCTAAAGAATTTAAAGGAATTTTTGGTCAAAATCCACCGACAACGAAGAGTTGAAAAAGAGAGTGTTAAAAGACATTGTTACATCAAATACCCTGACAGGGGCTTATCTTTTGAGTGAACCAGGATTTTGAAAATGTTTCTAATGTCTAAAATCCTCTATATTTCCTTTAAAAGGTTGACTATTATGTTCCATTTTAATTTCAGGGGAAAAAATGGCTGGCAAAAAACATGGTCATGATTTACTTCACAATTAATACCACCATAAATTTTCCTGGCAAAGGAAACTTATTAAGTTAATTAAATGACCGTTCTTGATATTTTAAATCGTTTAATTCCCCATACAGACCTTAGAAATCTGAGATGACATTGCTTGTTAAAACAAAGAAAGATAACAGTACGACTCCCCACAAATGATGAGAAATATGGACAGAGATGCACAGGAAACTCTTCTTTTCAAAGCAATCAATAACTTAGTGCTTGCAGATTTTGAAAAATCCAATCAAGATAATTATTACTTTAGACACTTGAAAAGGAGTGTCATCTCATGTGTCCTCCATCTGGATCAACTACTGCTCATTTTAGCCATACCCATCTCGGTCCTCAGTCTGTATACAGCAAGGGCTACACTGTATTTAATCTGTGAGAAAAAAATTGAGAACTTCTGTAAGTGTTCGATGGGAAAGCTCCGAAAATCCAGGGAAGCCTGAAGTACTTCTGGTTCCTTCAACATGGTAAAGAGCAATTGATTCACAAGCACAATCTTTTTTGCTCCTAAGTTTTTGATTCTGTGCCTGGTTCTGTTTAAAACAAGGCACATCAGACATCAAATCCTTTTTACCATCTATGAAAGGTAATGAAAAAGCTAAATGGTGAAACATTACGTCAATGTGGCAGGTTTCTTCCTTTTGTTTAATTACTTTCATCAATACCCATTTTGGTAAAAGGCTCAGGTGTAGATAAGTGGAATAAATAACTTGTACAGTCACCTGCATTACTATAGTATTTTGGGGTTATGCCTTTTAGAGTCTATTCTTGCAGGAACTGACAGGACCACATATACCATGGGAAAACCTACAGCCAAACAAGTTGAACAGACAAACAGGAGAAACAAGGCTATGCAGTTTGTACCTTGCATTGAGTTTATGCTTCTTGTTGACCTAACCGCCCATAAGTTGAGTTGGATCAAATGTTTGGAAGGTGTAGTCTCCATCTGTACATGTAGCATGGAAAAAAAACAAAAACAAAATGGAAAATCAAGATTAAAAAGATTAATGACTACTCTCCTTTACTTTGGGGGCGATATTCTTAGTTGTAAATTTTGGTTTGTCAGTAATGCTTCAAAAGTATTTGATGTTTTAGTTTGTGGCATTTTCCATTATTGTCAAAGGGGATGCATGCCTCTTACCCGTTTTTAGAATCTGTTTAACTGTATTTTACTTTTGGCACAATCTTCCTTTTCTAAAACCCTTGATTCATTAATTGTATGATTTGCTTCTCTCTGGTTTACGTTTTTAGGGTAATAATTTCTTCTTCCATCAACTGTCTTTGCAGTTACTTGGATTTAGACAGATGTGGTTCTTGAGCAATTTTTTTTCTGGGGGGGTTAGACCCTTTGCATGTGATGTCACCTTTAACTCTCGCAACTGCTCTTTCACTTTGGGGGTAAAAAAAAAACCTCCCTACATTATTTTGGGGAGGGGGTAGACAAAACTTTGGGGTGACTAACCCCCTTGAGCTCCTTAGCTGGATTTAGAACATAAAATAAGCTTACCTCAGGAAGCTGCAGTGGCCAGGCAAAGCAAGCAGGGTCATCAGTCAAGTGTTGTTCTTCCTTCTTACTATCAGTTCCTTGGCATAAGTCAATGATGGTCATCCTTCAAGTCTCCTAGGTGTAGTTCAAAGTTGCATCTCAGCTGAAGCATTAAAACAAAATGGACCAGAATTATCAATAATCCGAATCCCTGGCAATGCCAGGAAGGGGGCATATAGTTTGGGAGGGTGTGGACAGCAAGCACTTGCAAGGGGCAGTATGATCAACCAGCAAACGTAGAGGGTGGGTTCTTCTCATGGCAGTTGCCACCCCCTTTCCTCTTTTATTTTGTCTTTCACATTTGTGGCCTTTTTCTTAATTTTTTTCCAGGGAAGGAGAGGGATGGAAGTTGGTTAAACCTTGTTCTCTTTCTCTCTTGCAATGCCCATGACAATCAAAATGTTACATTCAAAGAGTTTCTTTTCTAGAGGGGTAACCGCACTTTTTGTAGATGCTTTTTTGTGGCAATTACCTTTCAGGAGAACAGGAAGTATCTTAGACTAAATTGCCCATTTCACGCAAGATGAATACACAAATTGGGATGACCCCATCTTTTTCCGAATCTTGACAACCCTGCCCAACAGTGCACCTATCAATTCTCTTTATAATTTTGTTGTAGTTTAGAGTTTCATTTGTTATTTTAGCCTTGCCTTGTGTACGAGTAACATCAAACTGAGGAAGTGGGGTCATCAGTCTTCGGTCAGTCTTCCTCCCTGCTCCGGTTCCTTAGCACCATCTGTGATGATCCTCAAGACCACGCCTTCTCTTAGTCCATGGCATCTCTTGTAAAAGGCTGGAAATAAACGGACTCAAAAAAAAGATTCATCCTAGTCGAGCTAGGAAACATTAGAAGATATATCCCCATTTCATAGATCTACAATGTAGCATTCACGGGCAGCTAAAATGTAAATGAGTTATGGACCAAAGCTAAACTAATTTTCAACAATAAAATTTTGTTAAAATTTGAAGTACCACTAGCTGGTAGGTGCTAAACAAAGTTTGTGAGTTTTGAGAGAAGTGCTTAAGTTAATGTGAAGTTATAAAAACACTTCATAAGCCTAATTTTTAAATAATTAAATCACACATTTCTATTTTAAAAATTTATCATTGTGTTCAACTGGTGGCTATCACCAAACCATGGCAACATGAAACATATCATACTCCTATCAGATAAGCCTGATGACCTTAATTATTCAACAAAAAACATGAGACACAAATCACGCAGAACTTCTTACATGTGGCCATAAACCAAACCTGGCTGCTATATTAGGCGTAAACCCATCTAGGCCTACCTACACAATACATGGATCCCCTATATCTAGGCTACCTGCAAAATTAGGTCCACTTCTAGGTCTATGTGCACATACTTCTAGGCCAACTTACACAATACTGTACATAAGATCTATGTCTCTAGGCCTAAAACGGCACATGTCAAGCACATATAGGCCTACCCAGTATACCCACACACTACATAAGACCTATGTCTCTAGGCCTATGGGCACATATCAATTACATATAGGCCTACCCAATACCCACACACTATATAAGACTTATGTCTCTAGGCCTAACAGCACATATCAATGATATAGGCCTACCCAGTACTCACACAATACGTAAGACCTATGTCTCTAGGCCTAACGGGACATATCAAGCACATACCCACACTGTACATAAGAACTATGTCTCTAGGCCTAATGGCACATATCAAGCACATATAGGCCTACCCAGTATACCCACACTGTACATCATAAGACCTATGTCTCTAGGCCTAACGGCACACATAAAGCACATATAGGCCTACCCAGTATAAGTACAGTACATATGACAATATGTCTCTAGGCCTAACAGCACATATCAATTACATATAGGCCTACCCAGTACCCACACACTACATAAGACCTGTGTCTCTAGGCCTAACGGCACATATCAATTACATATAGGCCTACCCAGTATACCCACACACTACATAAGACCTATGTCTCTAGGCCTAACGGCACATATCAAGCACATATAGGCCTACCCAGTACCCACACAATACATATGACCTATGTCTCTGGGCCTAACAGCACATATCAAGCTCTTAATGAAATCCGAAGGACCAAACAACACATTGTTTTTTGATGGTTTGAGAAGCCTCAGGGACTTCAGTTGCCCGCAATGGGGCTCCAAACTTTGTTGATTTTACACTCTTTTCAATGGAGCTTGAATTAGTTCAGTGCACCACTAGCTGCCTCTGATAAATTTTTCTTATGCAAGTTATAAGTCTTGAAAAGTAATTTTTGTTCAAAATGTGGTGCCAATAGCATGAAATTCAACTGTCGGAGGGGTATCACGTAGAATTCTTCACCGCACAATTCCACCATCCACGTCACCATTACAAAAATCCAGAAATACATTATTTATAAAGAAAGCGGGCAAGTACAAAGTCTTGAGATGATATGACTGACGACACACATACAACATTCTAGGCCTACCCAGTACTCACACAATACGTAAGACCTATGTCTCTAGGCCTTATGGCATGATATCAAGCACATAAAGGCCTACCCAGTACCCACACAATACATAAGACCTATGTCTCTAGGCCTAACGGCACATATCAATTACATATAGGCCTACCCAGTATACCCACACACTACATAAGACCTATGTCTAGGCCTAACGGCACATATCAATTACATATAGGCCTACCCAATACCCACACACTATATAAGACTTATGTCTCTAGGCCTAACAGCACATATCAATGATATAGGCCTACCCAGTACTCACACAATACGTAAGACCTATGTCTCTAGGCCTAACGGGACATATCAAGCACATACCCACACTGTACATAAGAACTATGTCTCTAGGCCTAATGGCACATATCAAGCACATATAGGCCTACCCAGTATACCCACACTGTACATCATAAGACCTATGTCTCTAGGCCCAACGGCACATATCAAGCTCATATAGGCCTACCCAGTACTCACACAATACGTAAGACCTATGTTTCTAGGCCTAACGGCATATATGAAGCATATATAATTCGACCCAGTACCCACACACTACATAAGACCTATGTCTCTAGGCCTAACGGCACATATCAAGCACATATAGGCCTACCCAGTCA